GGTGATGAAATCTTGTTCATCCTGAAGATGCCGTGGTCCTTCCTGGCAGGAAGGGCTGGGGCTCCCTGCAAGGGGTGGGAAGTGATGGATTATGACTGTTGGGTGTAATACTGGTTCAGTTTTCCAAACTACTGCCCGAATAACCTTCTCTCTGAATCAGATTTTTTGAGGGTTGGGTTGGTTGATTCCTTTTGGAAGAAGCAAACAAACTCTGTATGAGGAACTTGGAAGCTATGGAGCAATTTCACCTGAAACTACCTGAGGTGTTTTGCAAAAGGACAACTTGGTCATGTCCAAACTGAGCTGTAAATCCATGTTCTTCTTTTCCTGGCTCACTTCTGGAGCTAATGGGAATGACATAAAATAATTATAGTTTCCTTTAAGGATGACTACAAAGCTCAGCACCTGAGGTGTGAGTGCCCAGCTGGGTGAGTGTTTGGAATTGTTGCTGTCACACACCTCTCCCATTGATTGCACCATGTCCTTAAATGAACAATTCCAAAGTGCCCAGCACAATGGATGTCAACTGCCATGAAAGGCTGGGATGCCAGTTCAAAAAATAAAGTCACAACAACAACAAAACTCATGTGTCATAAGCATGCCAATATTTGCATGTGTAATTAAATAGTTGCTGGTGTTTGTGTCCCATTGTCACCCTCCTTTTCCCAGAAGGGTGACACTTCATGTTATGGAAGTATGCAATTCAGGGATGTAAAGAACAGAGTCCTCCTGAGACATAAATATATGTATATTTATTTATATATATAAAATTCCAGTGTAATCCACACATGAAAGAATTGTGGTCTATTTCAAGGCTTTTCCTTTCATCTTCTCCGTAGTTTTCTGCCAATTCTCAAAGTGCTCCCAGACCACAGACTGAATGAAATGATCTGAACAGGGCTGACCTGCAGCTCCTGGTGCTCCCTGGGCCATGCCCCAGGGCCACCCCTGTCCCCTGACCCCACAGTGCTCCCTGTGGCTGCTGAGCCTTTGCTTTCCTCTCACATCAAAGGAAAAATCCCACCTGAGGAGATGGAGCTCTTGCAAAGACTGGCACAAATGCACCTCCTCCTCATTGGCCTGACCTGCTGCCTTCAGGACAGAAGAATAGAATAGAAAAAAATAGAATAAATAGAAAAATATTTACTCTCATATCTCCAGTCCCTTTTAAAGAAACACATTTTTTATGCTGTACTTGCTCCTGAAACTCCACTGGAAAATAAAGCTGGCACCAAGTGGACAATGATTTCACCTGAGTTAGACAGAATTCCTTTCCTAAAGAACTCAGTGTAAGTTATGTCTAAATCTTCCACCTTTAAATGTAACAGAAACTGTTTTTTTCCACCTTATAATTTAAAAATCCATGGTGAAATCAGATTTACACCAGGTCTTTCCATGGATGCACAGATTCTGGGAATCCAGGGAAGTTCTGCCCTCACTTCCAGCCTCCACTCTGGAAGCCTGAACACGCTGGTGTAATTCCAGTTGAATTTCAAGGGAGAAAAGGATGATTGATATGGCCTCAAATGGTGGAATCAAAAAATCTGGTATAGATTAATAGGAATATTAGTGAAAGCTGGAAAGGAAAACAAGGATTCTTTTCTAATGTGACATGATACTTAAGAACACACATTGTCAGTAACTACAAATGTGTAATGTTTCTCTTTTATTTTGCCGTACTTCTGACACGATTCTCTCACAATGCTTTGCTTATCATTCTCTTGTAAGGTTTATTGTACTTACAAATCATTCCCAGACAGCTTCTTTGCTATCTTTTCATTAAAAAAAAAAAAAAAGTTTTGTGGATAATACATTTTCCCTGTGGGAACTAATTCCACAAAGATATTGACTACAAGCCTGTCGTTGTTTTAAAATATGTGGCCATGTATCAAATGGTTGATTCTTCCCCCCAGAGTCACCTTCTGAAGCTGTATGTGTGCACTTCATCACCTGAGATGAAAACTCCAGTTTGTCCTCCCAAGCCAGTGCTCACCCCTACCTGGAATTCTTTTTGCCATCAGATCACTGTGGACACTCCCTGCTATCCATTTTGGGGTCTTTAGGGCTGTGTCCACGCCAGTTCCTTTGTTTCATATATTTTTAGCCCTTCCACTGTGGGATGACAGACTGCAGCATGTTAAAGCAGGGAGAATATTTGTATTGATTTCCAAATGCTGCAGATTGAGAGCAGATGTACCACGTATTCCCCAAACGTATGTTTTAACTTTCATTTATGTGCTGTGCTGAGCAGCCTGCGAGCCAGGAAGTGATTTATATCTGCTAATTGCATGCACTTTGGTAGATTTGCAGCTAAAAATAAGTGGTTTGTTTTTTAATTATAAATGATTTATCCTCTCACACTGCATGGAACTAAAACTTCGAAGCTAAAAGAGAACTTGGAGAATCTGCATTTAGTTTCTGCATCTGCCATGGACTTTGTTTGTGTCTTTAGTGGGTTATCCATGTGCCCAGCTCAGAGGAATCTGGATCTCATGGACATCTTACTTCAGAGAGATGAAGGAAACACTTCTGTTTTGCAGCTGAAGAGGTGTAGCAGCAGCTGCTGCCAAAAGCAGCGGTTCAGTGGAGACCCTGGAGAAGGGTGCCCCTCACCTTTGCTGCATCCAACACTCCAGCAGCTGTGGGGAATGGGACCCAGCTGCTGGTCTGGGGGAACGTCGCTCCCATTCCTCTCACCAGAGGGTTCACGGAATGGACTGGCCTGGGGGAGCACAAGGAAACACACGAGGGGTTTTCTTGTGGGCAGTTAGCTGTTAGGTCAGTCAGAAGTAACCTGAAATGTCACCTCAGAGGGGCAGGGCAGGCAAGCCTGGGCTGGTGCAGCAGCACTGCAATCCCAGCCACATGGCCTGACCTTCCTGCTGGCACAGCTCCGCTGTTCCCGGTATTCCCTGTCTCCAGGACAAGTGTCAGGCCTCTGAGGGCACTCAGAGCTCTTAATGAGTCCCACTCCACCTTGCCTGGGGCTCTCTTTAAGTTCAGCCCTAGCCCCCTCAGAGTCTGTCCCTGCAGCATCCCTGTGCGGGGCGATGGACCCTCCTGATGCACAGACTGACCTCAGACCTGCCTCCTTCCCTGCTCCCCCTCAGACCTGTCTCATCCCTACAACCTGCCGGCAGCCCCTGTTCCGTGTTCCAGTGCCCAGAATGTCCCATGTTGCTGGAATGGCCCCTGAGGGATGGCCTTGAGGAATGGCCCCTGAAGGATGGCCCTGAGGGATGGCCCCTGAGGAATGGCCCTGAGGAATGGCCCCTGAGGAATGGCCCTGAGGAATGGCCCTGAGGAATGGCCCCTGAGGGATGGCCCCTGAGGGATGGCCCTGAGGGATGGCCCTTGAGGGATGGCCCCTGAGGAATGGCCCTGAGGAATGGTCCTGAGGGATGGTCCCTGAGGGATGGCCCTGAGGAATGGCCCCTGAGGGATGGTCCTTGAAGAATAGCCCCTGAGGGATGGCCCCTGAGGGATGGCCCTGAGGAATGGCCCCTGAGGGATGGCCCTGAGGAATGGCCCTGAGGGATGGCCCCGGAGCTGTTGATTCCTAGCCTGATCTCAGAGCTGCCACCATGAACTCACCTGATGGTCTTGGCTGGAGCTGGGCCTGCCTTTTCACCTGGATTGGGGGTGGTGCTCCAAGGACCTAAAGCAGCAGAAACTCCACTCGGGTACCAGTGGCTCAAAGTCCCTCCCATGTGTCACACTAGATCCTGAAACACACCAAGCTTGACTCGCCTTGTCCATTTCATCCATGTTTGTTTATTGGCCAGTTTTCCTGAGAAAGTGGGTAATCTCTTGTCATTTTCCTGGCTGGTGAGAGGAGGTACATGTGCATGTTTGTATCTGTAAGAAGAAGGTGGTTCCAGACCTCAAACTCCTTCCCTAACATGCTGCCAGATGTTTATCTGGGTTTCCTCCTCCTCTTGAAACTCTGTTAGTGTCTGACAAGAAATACAAGATTCATATGGCAGAAGAAAAGCCTAAGGGATCTGATCTAGCAGGAAGTGAGGAGGAAATTCCTTTAATCTTGTCCTTGTTTCCACTCTGCTTATGAGCTTTTTATTAAACAGTTGCTGACTTTTGAAACCCTAAACCTAATCTAAGCATCCCAGAAATATGATTATTCTCCTGGATGGAAAGTAGTTATCACTCCTAGGAGCTTCAACCAGCTTTGTCAGTGTCCTCTGACTCCAGCAAAAATGTTATCCACCATTGACAGGAGGGAACTCCAACTCTCCTGTCCAAAATCTTGGTTTCCAGTCACCAGAGAGAGAAAAACTTATTTGGGGTCTGGGCTGGTTGACAAGGTGGGCATTGATCACAGGTTGGACTTGATGGTCTTGGAGGTCTTTTCCAACCTCAAAACCTGTGTGATTCTGTGAAAAGTGTGCCCCTCCAAGCGCAATAATCCCATGGACTGAGGTCACAGGATGTGGGGCAGCCCCTTTAGAAGGGATGGAAACGTTTCCAGTGTGGATGACCACACACTGGAATGGATTATCCAGAGAAGAGTGTGGAGTCTCCCTCACTAGAGACATCCCAGAACCCTCTGGACACAAACCCACGCCAAGTGCTCCGGGGTGTTGGAGAAGGCAGGCTGGACAGCATCACCCGCAGTGCTCCCTTCCACCTCCATTCTGTGACTGTCTGCTCACAGGCTGGACTCGATAATCCCGCAGGCGATTCTGCGGAAAGCGTTACCCCCACAAGCGCGACCATCCCGCAGGGACTGTTTCTGGGGAAGGGAACGCGACATCCCGCATCCCGCAGGGACTGTCTCTGGGGAAGGGAACGCGACATCCCGGCAGGGCCTCCCTCAAAGCGCTGAGGGGCGGCTCTGAGGGCGGGCGGCTCCTCCTGAGGGCGCGGGGACAAAATGGCGGCGGCGGGCGGCGCGGGCGGCCGCGCGGGGGCGCTGCGGGGCCGGGCA